GTCGACTGCTATATTGTCCTCTACCCCGCGTTGACTGCTATATTGTCCTCTACCCCGCGTTGACTGCTGTCTCTTTCCCTTACCTCCGAGTCCCTGGAAGGCGAGCAGGTCCAGCAGTCCTCCGCTCTCTCCCATGTTGTTGAGGCGGCGGCGGCGCACGTCGTCGACGCGAGCGTCCTCGCCGAGCAGCGCCGCGCGCCGCGTCTCCGCCGTCGCGCCATTCTCGCACACGTCGGCGAGCGTCAGCGCGTAGCAGACGCCCAGCTGCCAGCTCCAGCCGGCGACGCCACCGTCCAGCACGCCCAGCGCCGCCGCGTCCAAGGCTGGGGCGGTTTTGCGGGCCGCGGCCGGTCCTGGGCGGCCTAGCGGCCCGGTCGGGGGGTTCTTGTGGGGCGCGGTCGGTCCTGGGCGGCCTAGCGGCGGTGCTGATGACGTTGTGGGGTTCTCGTGGGCGTCGGCTGGTCCTGGGCGGCCTGCCGGCGGAGTTGATGATGCCGGGATGCTCTCGGATGCTGCGTCGGATCTTTCTGCTGCGGCGGATGCAGCGGTCGACCGTTCAGGAGAGGCGATTCCCGGGGGCTTCTCGGCTGGCGCTAGCACGTTTGCACTGTCATCTGAACGGCTCGCGGATGCCATGTTTTTCTCCCTGCTCACTGGTTCCATGTTCTTCTCCCTGTTCGTGGGTTCCATGTGCTTCTTCTTGCTCGTGGGTTCCATGTTCTTCTCCCTGCTTGCAGGTTCCATGTTCTTCTCCCAGTTCGTGGGTTCCATGTTCCTCTCCCTGCTCGTGGGTTCCATGTTCTTCTCCCTGCTTGCAGGTTCCATGTTCTTCTCCCAGTTCGTGGGTTCCATGTTCCTCTCCCTACTTGCGGATGCGCTGTTCCTCTCCTTGCTTGTGGGTTCCTGCGTCCTCTCCCCTTCCTCCTGACAGCGGTGGATGAGCTCAGACAGCAGTAGTGTGTCGGCGGAGAGACCCGTACAGCTGGCTCTCTGCAGCTGCCGCAGCGCGACGGGGTCGACGCGCGCCACTGCTCCCACGATCGCCATGGTGACCGCGCCCGTCAGCCTGCGCACGACAAGTGAACGTCCGCTTACAATACGACACGACAGTCGCTATCTCTCTTACAGTCCCGGCCTCCCGCTTTACATCTTGTCCTCACTTGTTTCTGGGAGACAGGGCTTTCGTGTGTGACAATTACATACATCCGTGTTCATATTCAAGAGTTATAAGCATTAGCAGAATTTATGGCAATCATGTCGTTGTGAGAAATGGTTACTTACATTCACATTGGCATTCATCTAGATCAGATGTTCCTAACCTGTGGTCCATGGACCCCTTTGGAGTCTGTGGATGGGCTTCAGGGGGTCCGTAATTGCGCCTTAAGTCATCCTTAGACCGTAATCACCTTATGTGCATTTTTCTGGGAAGGGACCCGTAGCTTTCACCAGATTCTCAAAGGGGTCCATGACTCAAAAAAGGTTAAGAACCACTGCTGTGGATGCAGCCTGCAAGAATGGTTTTGCTCGTAGAAATTTGTTAAATATTCTTCCCCGTTTTAAAGGACAATCACGTTTGGGAAGATCGGAGTCAGCAAGGGACAATACTTTGAACAGCATTTAAAGTTCATCAAACTAAACACAAAGATGGTGACTTGGACTAAAAAAGACCTCTCATATCTAGATGAGGTGAGTAATTCTGTTTTATGTAGCCAGCTGGCTTGAGCCGCAACATAGCTTGATAGGTTGATGCCAGTAATGCCACATTGGAAATCGGCTTGCTCTAGTATGCACTTGCAAATTATGCACTAGTATTTATAGTCCACTTAACTATTCGTTTACACATCTGTGTATCTGTCTCGAGCATCAGAACATCAGTCTGTTCATTCAGAAACTAATCAGAGAACAGGAGAATATGACCTTGGCCATTGTTGAAGGTCGTCTTGGCTGCATTAGACAATAATGTCTGCCCCCTTCCGAACACACACGTTTGCATGCTGTCGCTAAACGTCAACGCAATCATCGTGCGATTACCTCACCGGTTTTTCGAGCGAGATTGTATACCACACTGTAGATCTTACTGCTGTAGCATCAGCGAGCGAGCGTGCGTGCGCCAACGCACCTAGCTCCAAGAAACGGTCTTGCTAGGGTTAGAAGACCTATGTATAGATTGTGTACCTATGTATAGACCTATGTATACCTATGTATGGCTGTATAGACAATCAGTCGCGCAGCCTCGGCGGGCTACAACGTACACAGAAATAACAATTTTTACCGTGGCCAGAAAACGATGGCCGACCATATGCACCAGCGGTGCGCATCCTTGTTCACGTTTATATTGATATGTACAACAATAAAATCATGGGTTTCTTTGTACATTTGTGATGGACACGAACTCCCCCTTAGAGCCAGTACACGTTCACGTTCACTTCATCCTTGCAGGGGCGTGTACAGGATTTGTACCAGGGGGGGGGGGTGGTCCAATCGTAACCCAAAACTTGGGAGCACGCGAAGGGGGGGGTCTGGGGGGCCCTTCCCCCAAATATTTTTTTGAAATTAGACCCCCTCAGATGCGTTTTCTGCGCAAGCAGGGGGTGGTCCGGGCCCCCTGGACCCCACCCCCCTGTACACGCCCCTGCCTTGTTCGTTGCAGAAGCGCTACATTCCGGAGTTTGTCGAGAGAGTGTACAGCAGCACTCCGGAGGTGGGCATACGGCAAGTGCAGGCGCGCGAGGTGTCGCAGCACGACGCAGTCAGGGTCACCTACACGACGCAGACGTCTTTCAAGATCCTTTCAAAAGCCCTCGGCATGATGACGGACGTCAAGGTAAGGTTTAAGTAATGGTCAAGGTAAGAAGAGTAAAAAAGTTGAGAAGTCAAGGTAAGGTAACACCGCGCAGTGAGAGCGTGCGTTCGTCGGCACGTTAACCGCAGATTTCTAAACTCTCTTTTAAATAATTATTCTCATTTTCTGTCGTATATTCTTTCTTTTATTCCCGTCCTTCTCATTCTTTACAAGTTCTCAACTTATTATTATTTTATATTAGTATAATTTATTATTATTATTATTACTATTATTTTCTTCATAGATTAGTTCTTGACGAGTGGGAGTCAACGTGAATGGCGGAGCTCATTGTTGATGTATATTTAACGATATATTTTATCGATTTAACAGTGACAGTACGCTCGAATACATACGTGCATAAAAGTCTGGAAAATACGAGTGATTTTCAAGATCGTCTGCTTCTATATCGTACGGAGTTTAGATTTTCCCTGCACTCCTGTTTCAGGCCGGGGTCGCCCGCACTGCATACAGGGGCGTGGTCAGCATAATGTTCAACGGGCAGCGGGTCTACCTGGCGCCGCCCGCCAACTGGACGGCGTACGAGATGTGGAGTTAGCGGCGGGAGCGCGGTCGCACGTTCGTCGTCAAGGCGGGGGGAGGCGGCGCGCGTCGGCGCGCGATCTCGCACCCGCTCCCCATGCCACGTGCTGACGTCACTGATGCAGACTACAGCAGCGCGCGCATTCCCATCCGCTCCTCTCCTCGTGTGCTGACGTCACTGATGCAGACTACAGCGGCGCGCGATCTCGCACCCGCTCCCCATGCCACGTGCTGACGTCACTGATGCAGACTACAGCAGCGCGCGCTCTCCCTCCCGCTCATCTCGTCGTGTGCTGACGTCATCGGTACAGACTACAGCAGCGCGCGCTCTCCATCCGCTCTACACGTCGCGCGCTGACGTCAGCAACACAGACTACAGCAGCGCGCGCTCTCCCTCCCGCTCTCCACGTCACCATCGCAGACGACAGCGACAAGCACAACACGCGCCTGCCAAGACTGGTTGGCCTTGCCGCGACGCGCCGATGGCGGCGGTTCAAAGACATCGAATGACACAACAGAGGACATCGTATTTCTCGCCACCCGGGCACGGATGCCCATAGCGCAGAAATAGATCGCTGCGGTGCGTAGCTGTCCGACGGGAAAGATTTTCGCCGAGCGGGGCACTGGATTAAGCTTAACCTCTACGCACCCGAAGTAAACATTCCCGATCGTGCGACAGCGAGGGGAATCGAGAATCGAGAAACGCGCGTCGACGGAGCGATGTCCGCCGTACGGCTGGCTCTGTGCATGTCGCAAGCATCGAGTTCGCGCGTGAGAGATGCCGTAGGGAATGTGCAAGCTGAAAAGGCCTCGTGATCATGACTTCAAACTTTTATCAGCGATTCGATCGCGCAGTTAGCTTGTTGGTACGTAGATATAGTTTGTCGTACGGGTCTCTGAGACTCGCATCATCCTTCTTCGTGTGTGGACTGACGAGTGGCGAGTTTTAGATGGTCAGCGTGTGAACTACAACATGTAGTCCGAACGATATTGTCTGTGGTGTCGGGGTGTGAGCAACACGCAGCATTTGGTTGTCTTCTGTGATTGCCGTTATAATGTGGTGTATCGCCACTTTACTATAACTCACAAGACCCCCAACTCACCTCCTATTCTCGGGTAAATATAGGGATGGCTTTCTCAGTAGGGTTTGGGTATAGTGCGGTAATATTGTTAGCCCTATTTATTGATGTTTTTTACGTGGGTTTGGATCGAATGAGGAACGCGAAGCGGTATGAATGAAGCGGGGTCCGACTCTCATGAGAGAACAGACTGTTCATTTGTTTTCACAGTACTTTCCTTCAGCAGCTCTCCCTCGACAGCTTAACCTCGGCGGCCATGTTGCCGTTGACGATTGACTCCTCTCGACTTGACTCGAGACCTTAACCCTGATCTTAACATGACACGTTGTGTTTGACAACTGCCCCTTGACACCGACTTGGTGCCTGACGCTGTACTCTGAGACTTGACCTAACCCTCAAGTCTGATTAATTGACCTGTTCGGACTTCCTTGTTTTAAACTTTATTATCAGACGATAAACAGCTAAATAGTTCATAGCTAGGCAGCATCTGCGTGGCTATGGAATGGAAAGTGGATGTGGATCCATGTGTGATGTATGTTATCCACAGAGTACAATTGTGAAATAAACCCTCTTTGCAGAGCAGAGGTCTGGTCATAAAGGTTTCTAACAGTTCCAATGTCGCTTATACTAATTGTGGCTATCTAAAACCCTTCCTAACAGAACCTGATTTAAAAATTAATTGAAATGCTATGGTGAAACATAATTTTATAAGTAAACGTGATCGGTTTTGTACAATAAAATTGTTATATTGTTATAAAATATCGTGGTATATTTTTGTTGTAAAATGTCTTTGTGTCCATTGATTTTGAATATAGGTATAAACAGGAAGAAATGAAGAACGGTGAAATGAAGTGAACAGCTACGACATTTAAGACATGTGGTTCCTTCATTGTTTAATCTTGTCATTTTCATATCTGCCGTCTAGCTCGGCCTTTTTCTCGCTCTCCTTTTCATGCTTTTTCTTCTCTTCCTCTTCCATTCGCTTAACCTCTTTTTGCCACTGCAAAAACATTCAGTCGAATTTAACAACATAGCAACAAACTAACACGAGGCTATTAGCTGGAAATCGAGAAGTGCATTACATTAACTCATAACCTATAGTTGTTCTCAACCTTTTTAGCTGTAAGGGTAAAATACTGGTCGTAAGGCTGGTTGGGATAGCCACGCATTCTACAATTTCAGTTTGAATCTACAGTTCAGACCAGCCATGATTTAGGAACACTGCATACAATTAAACTATTCGTCGGTGTGCAAGCAGGGGCACGTGGACCATGCAATCATATTGAGCAGTGACGAATGAATACATGCACGAACCACACCATATACCTCTTGTGATATGACCTTTCTGAATTCTGCGGTATTTCTTGAATATAAGTCGTCAGTGCCAGTGTCTATTGTGGCTTCACATTTCCTGCATCATTGATAAGATAAGAGATAGAGAGTCACCGCTAAAAAATGCAGTGTATAACATATGTCGCAGCAGTTAAATACAATGTACTACTGTACATATCACACAGGTTGAATGTACTGCATATATCGCACTGAATGCGATTTGCTATATTACATCACAGGAATTGAATGCAATGCACAATATATATCACACTGAAAGCAATTTATTGTGTGTGTGTGTATATGTATTAAGAGCTAATACTACATAATAGGGTTCTCCAAGAGCACTTAATTATAGCCTGGCGGCCAACTAAACTCAAGTGGGATCGAGGACAATAGGAGCAGTCGACGCGGGGCAGGACAAAATATAGCAGTACAACGTGTCGGCTTAGAAGGACAAGTATAGGCAGTCACGTGGGTAGAGGCGACAATTACGCAGTCGACGCGCGGGTAGGGAAATAGCGGGGGAGAGACAATATAGCAGTCGACGTGGGGTAGAGGACAATATAGCAGTCAACGTGGGGTAGAGGACAATATAGCAGTCAACGCGGGGTAGAGGACAATATAGCAGTCAACATGTTAGGACAGTCGCAGTCGCGGGGGGTAGAGGACATAAATAGCAGTCAACGTGGGTTTGTAAGGAGGGGGGGGAAACTTTTTTTTATAGCCAGTCCAACGTGGGAGAGAGACAACTATCTAGGCAGTCAACGCGTGGGTTAGAGACAAATAGCAGTCAACGCGGGGCGGTAGAGAACGAGACAGCAGTCGATGCGGGGTAGAGAACGAGACAGCAGGCAATGCAGGGTAGGGAACGAGACAGCAGTCAATGCAGGGTAAAGGACAATAATAGCAATTGACAGCCGGGCGTAGCAGAACGAAGACAGCAAGTCAATGGCAAGTGGTAGGGAACGGAGACAAGCAGTCAATGGCAGGGTAAGGAGCAATATACGCAGGTTGACGCGCGGTAGGAGACGCAGCAGTCAATGCAGGTACGAGGACAATAATAGCAGTCAACGCTGGGGGTAGAGAACGAGACCAGCAGTTCGATGCGGGGTAGAGAACGAGAACAGCAGCGCCAATGCAGGGTAGGGAACGAGACAGCAGTCAATGCAGGGTAAAGGACAATATAGCAGTTGACGCGGGGTAGAGAACGAGACAGCAGTCAATGCAGGGTAGGGAACGAGACAGCAGTCAATGCAGGGTAAAGGACAATATAGCAGTTGACGCGGGGGGTAATGAAACCGAGACAGCAGTCAATGCAGGGTAGGGAAACCGAGGACAGCAGTCAAGCAGTTTGGCGAGAGATTAGAATCGAGCTATGAACGCAGTATGCAGGGTAAAACGGAGCGCATCAATGCAGGTAAGAGAACGAAGACAGCATCAATGTCAGGTTAGGGAACCCTGTAGTATGCTTGATGTACCGGGTGGTCAACGTTGGCGTAGAAACGAGCAGTAGTAGAAGACATGGGCCGGGACGAGAGCGGTGGCCTACTGGACGCTACTCGCACTTCCAGGGACTCGGAGGTAAGGATGAAGAGACATGCATGTTTGATGTGAGGTAGGAAATCCTGACGTAAGCTGTATGGTAGGGTGCAACGATCAAGCTCGTGTTATTAATGTAATGATCTATCTGTAAATTAATTGTTTTTAACCAAGCGGAGTTTGCTGAAGCTCACGGAGGCCGTTGTCAGCAAACAAAATTAGTCTTAACATTAGTCCTTAACACTCAAAATTTTCTTGTAGACCGTCGTCCAGCAACCCTGAATTGCCGTATTGTTTAGTGAGGAAATCTGCTATGAATTTTTCATTGCAGGTAACTTCGCAGCATTTCTGTCAAACGGGTCATAAGGAGAAAAAGTTAATGCTAAGACTAATGTTAAGACTAAATTTGTTTCATTGACAACGGGCCCAAAAACCCATCTATGGTTTTTAATCCACAGGGGATGCACGAAATCTGTAAGCCGTTTAGCTCTCGTAACACACGGGCGGAGTCGCCCCTGGAGTAAGTCTCTTGACCCCACGTAACGAATTCACGCCTTGAGCACCCGTGTTGCCTCTCTTAGCTTCAGCTTCTGCTCGTGGATGGCCAAGGTTCTTTAGCCGATGCAACACTTTTGTGACTGCCATGGTCTCTCTCTCCTGCGTGCAGGTCTTATGCCAGTAATTCTGTTGGCCGGACATACGATTCACGCTTGCCACCCGTGTGCCTCTCCTTGCTTCGCTTTCGCGTGGCGTCAGGTGGCACACGGCCGTGGCCCGCCTAGGGCTGCTCGGTGCGCATCTAGGCCGCTTTGCGCGACGATCCGACCGCAGCAGGCATGCGCACCGTCGCCTGGAACGGCGCTCCATGACGGGCAGGACGTGCGTCGAGTGGGCGACCAGCGGTGCTGGACGCCCTGCGCAACCGACGAGTTACACGAGAACTGCGCCGCAGCGCGGGGAACGGGGGGAGAGATGTCACCGACTAAATGAGATGAAGATGAAGGACTGTACATGTATGATGTAGATATAGATGTGCTGTAGTGATGACATGAGATTGTAATGTAGCTCGTAGATATAGATGTGCATGTAGATGTAGATGAAGATGTACATGTAGATGTAGATATAGATGTGCATGTAGATGCATGTAGATGAAGATGTAGATGTAGATGTGCCATGCTAGATGTTAGATGAAGATGTACTGTAGATTGTAGATAATAGAGCTGTCGGCATCGTAGATGTAGAAGAAGTAGTACATGTATTGTACGATATATGATTTTGTGCGCGCGTATATAAGACGATCCGAGGGCGATCAAGTTAACGTTGTTGATAAAACACCCCAATAACGTGTTGATTACACAATTACACGTGTTCATCTACACATTAACGTGCTTCATTAACCACAATTACACGTGTTGATTAACAATTACACGTGTTGAATTTACACAAATTACACGTGTTGATTACACAATTACACGTGTTGATTACACAATTACGCGTGTTCATTACACAATTACACGTGTTGATTACACAATTACATGTGTTGATCGCGAGAAGGGCGAGTATATTTACACTTTCGGATTACACTAGCGGACACGACGACGGTAATTGGTGTTCCGCGAGAAACCATCGATAATACGAGACGAGTCGTAACATGCAAATATATATGAGAATGAAAATAAATATACATATGCGAACTATATATTACCGTCGTCGTCTTGCACGACCGATCTGACGCCACGGGGTGTCGGTCATCCCGCGCTGTTTCTGTGTCTGTCAGCATCTCGCGTCCCCCAAGCGATCGCCGGCGCTGCACTCGTGTTAATTCTCCAACTTCCCACACCTGCTCGTTCGTAACGTACGAATCAGTTTCTGCAGCTACTCTGGTTAATTTTTACTCAACCGTGTTGATCAAAACGTACTCGCTGACGTTTCGCCTCCTATCAGGAGGCTTCTACAAGCTGACTGAAGTACCAATTTTGACCCAGAACTTTGGTGGTATGGGTCAACAGCTTGGTCCACACGTGACTGGAGTCTGTATCCCCCTCGTCACGGTTGATGTTGTGGTATACCGCGATCCAGATGGCTTCCTTAATCCAACGCCTGATTTTTATTGCTCTGCCCGATCGATATATATTTTCTAATATTATCCCAATCGACAGTTTTTGACTCCGGCGAGGCGGCAACGCTTGCTGCGAGGAAAGGCTCCCGGCAGAATCCTACGAAGCCAGCAGTCTCCCTGCAGTGAGGATTGCCGCAGTACTTCCACGCGTGCACACGCTGCCCCCCACTGCCGCCGCGAGCACGCGAACGCCACCTAGTGGCGGCAGCGCACGCGACGGAAAGCGCTCACATGGTGCGCGCTCAAAACCGCGACGCTCGTACGGATTCGAGGATCACCGTGATGTCGCAGGACCTGTCGAAGGTGAAAGAGCGGCCTGCAATGCCTCATCGTATTGACAGATGATAGGTATCAGTCTATATCATGTTATATATCAGGCGGGCGGTCGCCAGGTTATTTTGTTGGGGGGGTGCGAAAACCATGGGGGTATAAAGGAGCACGCGAAGGGGAGGGGTTAAGGGCTCTCCCCCAGAAATATTTTTGAAATTAGACCCTTCAGATGCGTTTTCTGCGCGAGCAGGGGGGGGGTCGGACCCCTGGACCCCCCTGTACACGCCCTAGGAACTGTAGACTCTGATACCGTGTGCATTGCATGCACTGATGGGTGGGGTCAGGGGTAGATTCATGATTATCAAGCTGCGTACGCCAAAATATTTTGCGTAAATCTTGTGTACGCAATCGACGTTGCTGTTGCGATTCTTCAACACAGCTATTAGTAATTTTGTCGACGATTTCGCGTACACAAGCGAGGCCGTTTTAGGTGCGATTC